ATGTTACCTGCATCACTGAGTAGGGAAGCCTTGTGTTACTAATACAAAGGCTTCCTCTCAAGCATCTATCAGGTTTCCTAAGACGGGTCCCAGGTGAAACTTGGAGGTGGATGGGTACCTAAGGGTGAGGCTCAAGGGTTAATTCCAGCAGAGCTCTTGTGAGCCCAGCTCCCCAACCCTTGTCTCTGTCTCCAGAGCCAGCATCCTGAGCTGGGGCGCCTGTGGCTTTGACAGCCCCTCCCTCCTTTTCTTCCACAGGGCCCACCGCTCAACACCCCTCGGGGCCCTGAGGCCATGGCTTGCCTCCATGAGACCCGCACACCCTCCCCTTCCTTTGGGGGTTTCGTGTCCACGCTAAGCGAGGCATCCATGCGTAAGCTGGACCCAGACACTTCTGACTGCACCCCCGAGAAGGACCTGACTCCTACCCAGTGTGTACTTCGAGATGTAGTGCCGCTTGGGGGGACAGGGTGGGGGCGGGCCCAGCCCCTCCCCAGGTGGAGAGCCGCCCCCTGAGCCTTTTGCCAACAGTGTCCTGCAGCTCCATGAGCAGGATGCAGGGGGCCCAGGGGGAGCTGCTGGGTCCCCTGAGAGTCGGGCGTCCAGAGTTCGAGCGGATGAGGTGCGGCTACAGTGCCAGAGTGGCAGTGGCTTCCTGGAAGGCCTCTTCGGCTGCCTGCGCCCCGTCTGGACCATGATTGGCAAAGCCTACTCCACAGAGCACAAGCAGCAGCAGGAAGGTAGGTTGTGTCCTCGAGGGGGGCCCCTCCCCATCTCCCTGAGCCCGAGATCTGTTGGACAGCCCCACCTGATGACCCTTTCTCTCCCCAGGGCCCAGCCCCCTATCTTTGCATCAGCCCCTGACTCCGCAGCTTCTTTTGAGATCACTCATTCCTTTCCTTCCCTGTCCCCTCAAAACTAGTCTTCTCGGCCCATTTTAGCTACTTACAGCTTCACCCTCGAATCATTCCAGCCAACCCAATGCTTTCCCCTGTGCCTACCATCACAAGGCCCCGAGCGTGGCTCTCTGAGCCTGTGGCACTGTGCCTCCTGTCCACAGACCTTTGGGAGGTCCCCTTTGAGGAAATCCTGGACCTGCAGTGGGTGGGCTCAGGGGCCCAGGGCGCCGTCTTCCTGGGGCGCTTCCATGGGGAGGAGGTGGCTGTGAAGAAGGTACGGGACCTGAAGGAGACAGACATCAAGCACCTGCGAAAGCTGAAGCACCCCAACATCATCACCTTCAAGTAAGGTCCAGGGCAGGGGCCGAGGTACTGTGCCGAGGGCAGGGACCTACTCGGGCAGCAGGGATCTACCCCGCCCTTCCTAAAGGAGATGCCAAAATGGCGAGGGTGGGGATGGGGGTTCCAGGTGTGAATCAGATGGATGCTGGGCTGGCTGAGGCCTTCATACCACTGTTTGGTCCCCAGGGGTGTGTGCACCCAGGCTCCCTGCTACTGCATCCTTATGGAGTTCTGCGCCCAGGGCCAGCTGTATGAGGTGCTGCGGGCTGGCCGCCCTGTCACCCCCTCCTTGCTGGTTGACTGGTCCATGGGCATCGCTGGTGGCATGAACTACCTGCACCTGCACAAGATTATCCATAGAGACCTCAAGTCCCCCAAGTGAGTAAGCGAGCAAGCAGGGAGAAGCTGCTGTGTGTAGTCTCCTGCAGGTGTCCCCACACAAGTCAGTGCGGCCACGTACCTCCTCCCAGACCCTGTCCTAAGTTCATGTGGCCATCTCAGAAAGCCCTCCCAAGGGACAGTCCTATCTTAGGGAGCGGGGGGTGCTGTGGTCTGCCTCTGGGTGTCCCAGATGAGTTGCTGCAGCCAGATGAGGTGTGTGGAGGGGCCCAGGCCCCAGCTGACTACACTCTTTACCAGCATGCTAATCACGTACGACGATGTGGTGAAGATCTCCGATTTTGGCACTTCCAAGGAGCTGAGTGACAAGAGTACCAAGATGTCCTTTGCAGGAACAGTAGCCTGGATGGCCCCTGAAGTGATCCGCAACGAGCCTGTGTCTGAGAAGGTGGACATCTGGTGAGGGCCAGGCCGAGGACTGAGAATGGCAGGCAGCCAGCATGGGGGTAGGGGGCGGTCCTTCCAGGGTCCGAGTGAGAAGTGACATGAGTCTGCTGTAGGCAGGGCTTAGAAGCCCCTTCCAAGTGAGGTCCCCTCTTATCCCTAGGTCCTTCGGCGTAGTCCTGTGGGAACTGCTGACTGGCGAGATCCCCTACAAAGATGTAGATTCCTCCGCCATCATCTGGGGTGTGGGAAGCAACAGTCTTCATCTGCCTGTGCCCTCCAGCTGCCCCGATGGCTTCAAAATCCTGCTTCGCCAGTGCTGGTAAGGATGGCTTGGCCAAGCTGGGAAGCACGGGAGTGTTGCTGATGGTTAGCCAGCACCTAGGACCCAGGCATCCAGGCCCAGAATCCTGAACAGGGAAAGGGGGACAGAGCTCCCAGATATGGCTCTCCAAGACCCCAGGATTCAGAGAGTCGATCAAGGGGACTACAATAAAGACCTGAGAGGTTGGACTGGTCAGTCCTCTACCGGGGTGCACGAGCTGTGTGTGACCTTCGACCAGCAGTATCCCCTCTGATTCTGTTTTCTTATCTGCAAAATAGGGATGACACTGTTTGGTATAGAGAGGGTGGCCATGAAGCGCCTGTGAAGGACCAGTACAGCCCTAAGCACGCTGGTTGAGCCTCAAGTCGACTGCCTTAGGACGCAGAAGGCCAGGGTGCTGGACCTCTATTTGGAGCCTAGGCTGTGAAGGAAAGTGGAAGATTTCTAATCTCTGGTTAAGCATTTCCCGAAGTGTGTTCCTTTTAATGGAGTTACTCAGAATAAGGTTTTGTCTTGGCAAACAAGTGGGAAACAGGACTAAATAGGTTTCCTCACTGTAGGATTTTGATGTGCTAACGGACAACCTGTAACATTTCCTAGAGAGCTGACCAGGGAATTCTTTTTGTCACAGAGTGTGCTCTAGGACTGGATTTTTCCGGGATGCGCTTTGTTGGGAAAGGATGCTCTAGTTCCCTTCTGGTCCTCCCTGAAATTCCTTTCTCTCCCCTAACTCCACACCCTCCAGGAATAGCAAGCCACGAAATCGCCCATCATTCCGACAGATCCTGCTACATCTGGACATTGCCTCAGCCGATGTCCTCTCCACACCCCAAGAGACTTACTTTAAGTCTCAGGTATGCCATGGGAGGAAAATGAACACCTTAGCCCCCTCTTGGCAGAGATGATGCCCTTTGAGGGGAGGCTGGGAAGAAGGGCTGATGGGGATGGGAAAGATCGGCTCTTGGGGAACTACGCCTGGTCTTGTTGATCCTGTGCCCCACTTCCTTTTGCTCCAACGCACACTGTACCGCTTGCAGCGGTGCCGGCCCCTGCAGAGGCTCTACGGGTCTGCTAGGTGAAGGGATGTCCCTCACCCCTCATCGTCTCTCCACCCCAGGCAGAGTGGCGTGAAGAGGTCAAGCTGCACTTTGAAAAAATTAAGTCCGAAGGGACCTGTCTACACCGCCTAGAAGAGGAGCTGGTGATGCGGAGGAGGGAGGAGCTCAGGTGTGTGCCTGTGTTTGGGAAGGTGATTTCACACTGGGCCTGTGGACCAGTTCCCAGAGACTGGGATAAATGATGGCACCAAGTGAAGCCAGCTTACCTTGGGGACCCTTCTGCCCGTTTCAGACACGCCTTGGACATCAGGGAACACTATGAGCGGAAGCTGGAGAGAGCCAACAACCTGTACATGGAACTTAACGCCCTGATGTTGCAGCTGGAGCTGAAGGAACGGGAGCTGCTCAGGTAACCATACACATCCTCCGGCACCAAATCCCTCCTCGTCCTCAGGAAGCTGTGCCTGACCCAGAGAGCCTACTGAGCCTGGGCCCCCTTCCTGGTCACACGCCCAACTGAGGTGTCTCGTCTTTAGGAGGGAGCAAGCTTTGGAGCGGAGGTGCCCTGGTCTGCTGAAGTCGCACCCTTCCCGAGGTCTCCTGCATGGGAACACAATGGAGAAGCTCATCAAGAAGAGGAACGTCCCGCAGAAGCTGTCACCCCACAGCAAAAGGTAGGACCAGAGATTGCAAGTGCCATGGTTCGAGAATGGCAAGGGGGAGGCTGCAGAGGCAGGAGTAGGGCTCAAGGATGCCACAAAGACTGATATTTAGATGGGAGAGAGGTGCTTTATACTGCCCAAGGTTAAGGAGTACTTGCACGTGGTAAATCTGTTAATCTCCATCTTGCACTTTCCCTCTCCCACCAGGCCAGACATCCTCAAGACTGAGTCTTTGCTACCCAAACTAGATGCAGCCCTGAGTGGGGTGGGGCTTCCTGGGTGTGCTAAGGGCCCACCTTCACCAGGACGGAGTCGCCGTGGCAAGACTCGTCACCGCAAGGCCAGCGCCAAGGGCAGCTGTGGGGACCTGCCTGGTCTTCGTGCAGCTGTGCCACCCCATGAACCTGGGGGATCAGGAAGCCCAGGGGAGCTAGGAGGGGGACTCTCAGCCTGGGAAGCCTGCCCTCCAGCCCTCCGTGGGCTCCACCATGACCTCTTGCTTCGAAAGATGTCTTCATCGTCCCCAGATCTGCTGTCAGCAGCACTAGGAGCCCGCGGCCGGGGGGCAACAGGGGGAGCTAGGGATCCTGGCTCACCACCTCCAGCCCGGGGTGACACCCCCCCAAGTGAGGGCTCGGCCCCCGGCTCCACCAGCCCGGATTCACCAGGGGGAGCCAAAGGGGAGCCACCTCCACCAGTAGGGCCTGGTGACGATGTGGGGCTGCTGGGACCTGGAAGGGAAGGGACAGCAGGACGGGGAGGAAGCCGGGCTGGGTCCCAGCACTTGACCCCAGCTGCACTGCTGTACAGGGCTGCTGTCACCCGAAGTCAGGTAAAGTATGGGGTGGATCCTGAGCTCTTCCACACTCTCCCCCCGGGGTTCAAGTCCATTAACTTACCTCCCATGATGGGCTCTGTGATCTTAAGCCATTCCCCCACCTAACCCTTTATAACCATGTTCCCTTCTGGATCCTCAATGACCTCTTCCTGCTTTTGACTACAATCCACTCATCTCTCTCGCAGAAACGTGGCATCTCATCAGAGGAAGAGGAAGGAGAGGTGGACAGTGAAGTAGAGCTGACATCAAGCCAGAGGTGAGCGAGAGAATCAGGAGGTAATGGCATTTTTATGGGTTGCCGAGACCCAGAGACAAGCTGTAACCCTGGTTTTTCCAACATATAGGTGGCCTCAAGGCCTGAACATGCGCCAGTCACTATCTACCTTCAGCTCAGAGAATCCATCCGATGGGGAGGAAGGCACAGCTAGTGAGCCTTCCCCCAGTGGCACACCTGAAGTTGGCAGTACCAACACTGACGAGCGGCCAGATGAGCGGTCTGATGACATGTGCTCCCAGGGCTCAGAAATCCCACTGGACCCTCCTGCTTCAGAGGTGGTCACGGGCCCTGAACCCAGCTCCTTGCCCACCCCACACCATGACCTACTCAGAGGGGAGCAGGTGAGTCACAGAAACCAGGTATTGGACAGGGAGCAGGTGCCTGGTCATCTAAGAGGTACTGAGACAGAAAGATAGGTATTTAGCCTGAGTCACTCAGTACTTGCAGCTGTTTCCTCCCGTACCCACGTGGTAGCGAGAGGGCAGCAGCGTACAGAGCACCTGGTAAGGTTACTCGCATGGTGCCTCTAATTACAGCAGGGGAGGAATCTGCAAACTAGGGGCTCTGGTGCCTTGGAGGGCCTGAGCAACTGAAATCTGGAGACGGTAAAATCACTAAGCTGCCACTACAAAGGCCTCAGTGAAGGATCTTGAAGGAATGTACTTGCCAGGGGATGCTGGGCTGCACCTCACTGTGCTTCTGCTCTTGTTCACAGGGCCCTCCAAATCCTGAGGACTCAGACTGTGACAGCACTGAACTGGACAACACCAACAGTGGTGAAGCCTTGCGGCCCCCAGCCTCCCTCCCTCCATGAAAGCCACTCTTACCCCTGTACATAGAGAAATATTTATATAAATAATATATATGCGCCACATAATCAACAAAGACAGGGCTGTCCCAGCCTTAAGTAGGGCTCAAGGGAGACCGACCCCTGACCAAGTCACCTGATAAAACTCTAGGGATACTGGCAGCTGTGGAAATGAAGGACAAGTACAGCCCTAGAGACATGGGTACAGGCAAGCTGGCCCCCCTGCTTCACCCCAGTATGCTCAGCAAGTGGTGAGGCACAAATAGAACAGGCTTCCCTGTGTTCCTCTATACTCTTTCTGCTCAAACCCTGAGGAGCAGGAAAGGGAGCCACTTAGACTGCACTTTTGTTTTCCGTTTACTCTGTTTACATATTTTGCACTTGGGAGGAGGGAGGCTAAGGCTGGGTCCTCCCCTCTGAGGTTTCTCAGGTGGCAATGTAATTTCTTTGTCCCTCCATTTCTCTGCCCAAGCCCTGGCTTAGGGCCTAGGGGGAGGCTAGGAGATTGTGAAAAGCATGTGATGGCTCAGGCTGAAGAACTGGGGTGTTGTTTTAAGTCCCTGCTTTTATCTTGGTGCCTGATTGGGGTGGGGACTGTCATATTGTAACCCCTGTGAAAAAACCTTGAAATATAACCACTCCATGCAGGCCCAGCTGTTGAGGGTTTTTTTTGGTGAATGAATGGGGTAGCTCACATGGTTAATGTCTGGAGCCCAAGGATCCTAACTCACCTGAGGACTCTGAGTTACTTCCTCCATTTATGCTTTTCTAACTAAATGAACATCACTTACAGCTCCAACCTTTCTAAAGGATTTTAGTAGAAGGACAGATCTTAAAACACCCATTCCTATTATGGAGAGGGGAGTACAAATAAACAGTTATTAAAAAACAAGAGATTGAAGTTTTAAGTTTGGACAAGAGGACAGACATTCTCAATAACCTGAATCCCAGTGCAACACACATCCAACTGCTCCCATGTGTATGTATGTGCATCCTCTCCACCCACTAGTGGAAGTACATACTTATTCTTTGCAGAGAGTCCTAGGAGAATTTAACCCCCAACCTTTTGGACCGAGGGAACAGCCAGATTGCTATAGCTTTGCAATGCTGGCTCAGCAGCTACAGAAAAAGGTGGGAGTGGGAAAACAGAAGAAAACATCTTCCCCTCCACTGGAATAAAGGCTTATATTCAAAATCCAAGCAGGGTCCTTGTCTTTTGAGAGATAAAAGGTGCAAAAATAACAGCAAGACAACAGGAATAAAAACCCACATGAATCACTGTGGCATCCAGTTTCTATTCACAAAGAAAAAAAGCTCCAGTCCATCTTTTAATTTTTTTGAAAAATTCCTGACATTACAGAACTAAACTGAAATGTATTAATATTCCACTCTTACATTTCCATGACAAACAAAAAAATTCATGAGACCAAAAAAAAAAAAACAGGGAGAAGCTTATAAAACTAAATATGGATCTCAGCATTAACAGCTGAACAGAGAAAGGAATTAAAACGCTTTAATTAAAAAATCACGAGTGGATGATAAAGTGTGTAGAAACTGAAAATTTACAAACTATTTAAAACCTGGAATAGCTGACTGTTCAGAAACTACACAGATGGATCATGGGTGGTGGTGAACAGCAGAAAGGGATTATGGATGAATCTGCATTGTTCTAGCTGCTCCCCATGCCACCCGTCTCCGAGGAAAGCCTGTAACACACACAAAAAAAACTCAAAGTTAGTTTTCTGAGTCTCCAGCAGTACCCTCACCTCCAAAACTTGCCTGGTTCACAAAATGTGAGAGTACATCATCAGTGTTTCAGTATCAAGGGCGACACTTTAGACTTCTTGGATTAACCAGTACCATGGTCCCGTAACCCCCTACAATCCAAGCCTTCTGAGGCAGATTACTTCAGAAACAAAGGAAATCGAGGACCTTGGTTATTAATTGTGGGTATTCCTCAAACTATGTTCTTTAGAATCTTTGTGGGAGATGTTAAGCACTGTCTGAAAATATGAGTCACACTAAAGCATCCTAGACGGTCACAATACACAGAAACATAATTTTTTTTCTTTTAACAGCTGAGCTTGTTTTAGTTCCTCCCAAGCTACTACCGATCAGTCCTGGGTTTTTCTATCAATGTGAAGACTACCACTATTAAGAGATTAGTTTTGAACACTAATGCACATTAAACAGGCAGCAATAAGTATAACAAATATGGGTCAAGAATTAGCCTCAACCTATAGTTTTTGGGCCTAGTGTTCAAGACTTAAATAAGTAGAAGTAAAAATAATTTGTTTTTAACAACTTTCTAGCTCACTCTAGACACTCCCAAATTTGTGGTCTTCTTAAGTCAAATTCTCCATCCAAATATATCCGGCTACAATGCCTTTCTGTTTCAAACAGAGGTCCCAGAATCCAATTTTGAGCTCAGAAGGAAACGTATTACGATGTTCGGCGTTCAGCCTGATTCACTACTAGGGGGCCAGCAAGACTTGGCTCCCATTTTCAATAGAACTAAATGCGTAAGACTCAAGTTTCAGTTCATAAATTTCATAAATATTTTAAATCTACTGCCATTTGTGTCAAGAGAGCATGAATGGTACTTCCCCATTTGTATCTCTTCCAGAATAATGCAAAGCCAAAAGGCGGCCAAAGAGGGCGGGTGGGGGCAGGGACCAGGAAATAGATAGATCCTTCAACTACAAACTGAATTTAGTTTAAGTCAGAAATGGTGTTTCAATCTCAGCATAAAGGGGAATAAACAATTCTTAAAGGGGGTAGATTCTTGCCAACCTCAAAATGGCATGATCTAGGGCAACAGAAAGAGGCCTTGATTTTAGTGAAAACTGTAAAAGTTCAAGAAAGGAGCTGCCGAAAATAGTTTAGATCTAGGGCCTCCTAAAATTATATTCATGCAAGAAAGTGGTGGCACTCTGGCACCAAAAAGAACTTGCAAAGAATAGTCAGGAATTTATACACAGCCTGAGCAGGAATTGGGGGAAGGGAGAGGGGCAAGGAGAAGGAAAAACTCAACCAGAAATATTACATTAAAGATGCTAGAAGGACCACATGGGGGAGCTGTAAGCTTTTAAAACATTGAACACCAAATACCTTTGGAGATGGTGATGGTAGTCAGCCCCTTAAAACAACTGATTTTCCTCCCTGCACTCAGGGAGTACTCATTAGGTGAAGAGACCTTCTAAAACCAAGAACTAGATAAAATAAAAACTAGGTTTCTGGGGGAGATGGTTATCACCAAGATATAGAAAGAACTCACTAAGAGCTGGACCAGATGGTAAAGGAGCAACTACCAACTAACAAGAGAAGCCCTATGTGGACAATGAACTCTACCCCTCTAGTCCTTCCGGCAGCCTTGGGACACGTAACACTATTCACTGTCTGGGACTGAGGGGACACAATACTATGAATTACTGTACTGAAAGGACTCATGAGTAATTAGCTGGGTTGTTTTTTTTTTTTAAAAAAACAATATAATCCAAAGGGGATGTGGGATAAAGTTATCAGTACAAAAAAAAAATCTTCACACTGATTCTCTAACCCCTCGGAAGGACGTTATACATTCATTACCCTGGCAGTAAGCATTCAGGCTGAATAGAGACTATCAGAGGCCTTCTGTCACTATACCTAGAGCATTCTTACTTTTACGTAGAGAGAACTATGATCTTAGGTTAAGAATGAAGCTTCAGGGAGATTAAGTACACTTGAGTAAAAGTAAAGCACAAGTTGTCCGTTCTAACTAGTCACTCATGTGATCTACAAATTAAAATCTCCCAGGGCCTCTGCTTTTTAAATATGATAAATAAGTGGATCAGTGACTTACAGCTCATCTTAGGTTCATTCCAAATCTAGGTCTTTAACCCTCCACTTATGACACGGTTGGTAGGGAGATTGAAGGCAAGGAACAGCAGAAGAGTAAAGGAACCGAGCTGAGTAATCAGGATTGGTTTAGCATGACTGGACAGAATCCTGTCAAATTCTGGGCAATGTCACAGGTTGGTTGTTCAAGATTTACCCAATGTCGCAGGAAGAGGGGTAATACTAGTTCAGAGGAATGCAGACAGAAGCTGGCAAACTTTATTAGACTTTCCCCAATTTGCCTCCCCATTCTGGGTAAAGAAATAATTTCTTTCCTTCACAGCATACAATCAACTAAGGTTCTCACTGTGGCAACTTTATTACAGCTAGAAACACAAATCTGGCCAAGAAGGTCAGCTGGGAACTTAACCATGAAATAATTAAAAAAAAAAGTTAACGGAGAAACTTTTATTCATTAACATAGAGCCTAACACATTGGTATATTGCAAGGCAGAATAAAGCTACAAAAAGTAACATGAGAAAGAAGAGCAAGAACTGAGGCTCTAGATAAAGAATTCAACAAGTCAGACTGAAACAGGCACTCAGCTGAAACGGCCTAAACCTAAACACAGGTTACCACTGCCCCTGCCCCCACCCTGTTATCCCCCAAAATAGTAAAATGGAAACGGTCACAAGCTCACAATTGTTTGGTTCTCACCAATATTAACAAAGGAAAACAAAATAAACCAAGAAATATTTGAAGGGGTGCCCCAAATATGCAATCAGTAGGGGGAGAATCTCTGTTTCTCGCTTTTCAGTTTGTTAGTTACACATGGCACGGCAGAGGTGGTGGTGGTGGTAGCTGAAGCCCCGGTACCCTTAGCAGCAGACACAACATTTAGAGCCAGGAGAGGGATGGGTTTCATGCCAAGCAGACTGGAGACACAAGGGGCGGTCGGAAGAGGGTTGGGGAGGCTGGAGGGTGCGTCGGAGGTCCCCGCTGTGGCGAGCGAGGGGGTGGTGGTGGAGGAGGAAGAAGAAGAAGAAGGGGTGGAGGGTTGAGAGAGGTTGATGCTGAGGTGATCAGGGATCGTGACGGAGGCTGCCTGGGAGGAGGGTTTAGCGTTTTCTAAACTGTAACAGAGGAAAAAAGGAACAAAAAAAAAGGGTGGGTGGAAGGGAAGACCACAAAAGGGAAAAAGTACAGGACAAAAACCGCTTCAGTTATCAGTAAGTGCCTCTCATTGCTAATTAGGAAGACCTAATACCAACTTCTGACAAGCTGTTTTTATTCTGTGTCCCACCCTCTAAAAAAAATGTGTATTTTGCCAAGTTCCATTCCACAATGCTTTTTAAAACTGCTATGATGAAGAAAAAGCTGACAGACTGAGAAAAGAAATCACACACTTCCACATATCTGATACACTGATCCAACCCAGAAGGCAGAATGATTTTAAGCAGAAAATGAAAGAGTACTCATCAATCTCCATACAACGAACAAACGTTTTACCCACCAACTACCTGTGAAGCTTTCGGATGCTAATCTACAAAATTTTTTAAATTGTTTTTCCTGTAATATTAAAATTTACTTCCATCTCCACAGCAAACCAACATATTAGGACGGAAAGGGACAAGAGACCAAAGTAGGTCACTAATTTCAAACTTCAAAGAATGTAGCATTTTCAAAGACTTAGAGCAGAACCACAGATAAGAACTAGAAAAGCCTCATTTCTGGTGAGGGGGAGGGGAGAAAGGGGCTTTTTTTTTTTTTAAGACCATACTTCTCAAATAGACCTCACAAAGCCAGAAGAAACTCCAAGGACTACAGAAAAATCTCAGTTTAATAAAGTAAAAATACCACTTCTAAAATAAGCTCTAAGTAACAGTAACAACCTGTAGCTGCCAAATGCCTCCATGTATCTAAGCCACGAGACTAAGTAACTAAAGGTATTTGCTGAAGTCTGGACAACCTATCACACAAGAGTAACTCTTCAAAGGCAGGGAGGCTCCTCTTTTTTATTTGGCTCCTCCTAAGACTCCATCCTGTTTACCTAAATCCAGGGACAGTTGCAATCCATAAAAAAGGACTTGGATTGCCAGAATCAGCAGAAATGCCTAGAATCCATTACTGTAAACAGAGAAATCTCTCTTGCTTAGTATTCATAATAAAACCAGTTTGCTTTTTTGTTCAACGGGTCTAAGATGAGAAAGTAAAGACTAAGCCGTGTGCATGCTTAGTCCTTGCCTGGTGTTAAATGAAACTTTAAAAAGTTTTGACCCAAATCCATAGCTTGGACAGTTTCATTAAAAAGGATGATCCTGAAGAGTGACTAAATCAGGAAACGAAGGTGGACCAAGTTCCACTCCCTTACAACTTAGTCACTGTCCTGGTACAGGGGTCAGGAAAGCAAGTTACATGGAAACACTGACAATATTCAGGGCAAGTCTACCCAAGCAGAAGAAAACAGCTTGGTTTCCAGCTTCCAATACCTTACTTAACTACTTAACAACCCCCCACTCCAATTAGAAACAAGGGAACAAATCTTTGCAACCAGCCTCCATGCTAAGTTAGTAACTACCACTTCACTCTAAACATTAAGAAATGACGCGCTTGGTAGCTGAAGAAGAAAGCAGATCTAGATAAAGTCTTTTCTACATAAAGAGAAGAAAATACCTCAAGACATGCAAAGACTTAAGGCAAAGTCAGAATCACCATGGAAAATTGATCATTTCTTAACCAAGGAATAAAAGACCATGGAATAAATACATGGTCAGTGTAAGCATGCCAAAAAACAGACCTCATACAAAAATCCTTTCCCTTGCATATAAAACTTCTAGACCAAACAACAGAGACCAAATACTTGTGTGACAGAGATAAATGACAACTAGGCCAAAGTCTACATAAGGATAGTAATCCCCTTGGGAAATGGGTCACTAACACTGCTTTAAAATGTTAGTAAGCAATTAAGAACATAACTTAAGTATGTGTGCTAAGAAAGCAAGAAATATAAATGCCTTGTAGGATGGCCACTGGACTGTGAATAGTCCTGCTACAATCATGTGTACTAACAGTAGCTAGGTTTGCATAAGAGAAAACCTCAAGAAGTCATTACGAGATGAGATGAGACGAGATGGGGAAAAAAGAAAGAAAACACTAGGTATTTCCAATACCTGTGCCTCCCCTTTCCCACAAGCTCTGAACAATGGAACACATTTGCAATTTGAGAAAAATGGATGTTTTTGGAGTAAATGGTAATGACTGCCTCCAAGAAACTGTCTGGTGTCACATAACTTCATTATCCTTATTTCAATTAAGGGTGTTCTGGAGCCTAAATAAACCCAATCAGTGAAATAACAGTTTATATTAGACAGTGGATGGAAGACATGCTCCATCCTTTCCACTCCTAAAACCAATGAAAAGTCAAATGCAAACAATTCATTCCCCTTCCCCCAGCCCATGCAATCATTACAATCTGGTTACTTTTTCTGCTACACTAAGGAAGGATGAAGTAGGGCTACACTTTTTCTTCTGCCATCTCTACCCTTCCCAACTCCCACCCCACAAATAAATAATCCCACACTTAACATTACAGTGTAACTTTCCCCAACACATCAATAACACAAAAGGTAGGGAACTCTTACCTGACATTGATTAGATATTGAGCCAGGCTGATGCTGGCAGCAGATCCAGTGATGGTAACCTGCCTATCAGTAGATCCTTCCACTGGGTTCGCAATTTTGATCTGCGCCCCAGACATCTGACGGATCTCATTGATTTTGGCGCCTTGACGCCCGATTATGCAGCCAATCAACTTAAGGGAGAAAAACAACAAGGCATACCAAATTAAAAGCCTCAATGGCTAAATCCAAGAATTCTATCCCACCCCTCAGCCTTCTATAGCTTGGGTCCATAAACATGGCAATGGAAACTACTATAGGTATCCTACATACTCTACTCAAATACTCTAAAATTAAAAAATTAAGTTACAGATGGTATCGACTCTTGCTCTGTTCTTCTGCTAGATCAATACAAGTCAGAGCCAACTGAGCTGACAGACTCCTCGGAGCATCAAGCTCATTTCCTCAGAGTACTAACTCCAAAGACAAAGTGAAGTAGAGCAAAGATAAGTCTAATTTATCCCTATGGCTGGGATAAAGGTAAAAGTATCTTTCATTTTTGTCAACAAAGATGCCTAAATTCTTCCTGCCACTATTACTACTTTACTATACTGACAAGAATTCTGGCTAATTTCTAACGGTTTTGCCTTGGGGAAAAAAGTAAAACATTGAGAAACAGTTGCACTGCCCAATACTGTACACATTAATAACATAATTATTATAATAACACATGAAGTGTGGCCAGTGAGATTGAGAAATTAAGTTATTTTATTATTCTCAATTCAAATAGCCACAAAAAATGTCGTTAGTGACTATCATGTTGAACAGCACAGATAGAACATCCAAGGACAAATGCATTAGAGGTAAGTATTCAGATTCTATAAAAAGCAAAGGGAAATGGGAATTTCTATTTGAGACACAAAGGTTCTTTCTGGGTCAAGATATCTATCTTACAAAAGTTTTATCAATCTCTTACATCAGTTTTTACTCAGGATTTTATACTGTTTTAAAAATTTAACTTGATGCCTAAAAACCCTACTTTTTTTCCTCCTAGGCATTAGAAGTGGCATGATGCTACTGAAAAAACTTCTATTTTTTAAAACCAATTCTCTTATTTTCACCCCATGCAACCCAATTAACTATACTTACATCGTTTGGAATGGTGAGTTCATGAGAAGTAGTCTGAGCAGATGCATCCAAACCTGCTAAAAGACAGAAGAGAGCAAAAAAAGTTCAATGCACAGCATATAAAACCCCACTGATTTGCACATTAACCTAACAGAAGGAAAACGAACTGGAAACCCAGCATTGGCTGTTGGGATTCATCACTAACTCTGAAGCCTCCAAGGAGGAAAGAGGGGGAGAGGGGTGTAGAAATAGTGCTGTAAAGGTTCCTCTTTACACAGAGAAGAGCTGATTTCATGCCATTTCCTGCAAAGCCCAGCCTATTAGGGTTTAAGGGGATGGAAGCAAGGAGCAAGGGAATGTGGTATCCTCAATCTTCAGGACCAAAATCTAACCAAGTCCTTCTGCACTCCTCCCCTTTTCTGCTTGAATTTCCTGATGATGTGTTCCAATTTTCTCTCACCTGATGCTATCACCAGCGCCAGTATCATGCCTGTTACTGGGTACCATGGACTTTTGGCACACATGCAGAGTTGCTTTAAATATACCTATATCAGATTAACACCCCCCACCCCTACCCTAACCTACACTTGAAGGTCAGAGAGAATGAAATGGCAGTAAGGTGAGGGAAGTTAATTTCTCCAGATTTATTCTGTCTTTCGCTCAATTTGTTCTGGCTTTTACTGTTTTCCAAACAAAAGAAAAAAATCCTATCAGCAAACATCCATATCCATCTATGACACCTGGACTAAACCAGGCCAGCTGGCTAAGTCTCAAGTCTAGTCCTTCTCTCTGCTGTGGCTGCTCAAACTCAACATTTTTAGAAGGAGGTAGGCCAGATCCATCAAGGGACCCTCAGGGGCACCAGGCCCCACCCCCTTTGTGCTCTCGGCTCCTTTCTGCCATGTGCATGTTTTGCTGGTATGTCATGGGCAGTGAAACAAGACTCCCACCAGTTTATTAATATAACAGTAGAATACTACAGATTTTTTTTTAATCATTACCCCAATAGCCTTTCACCTCTGGAGAGCTGGATTCAATGCCTGTTAAGATACAAGTGAAAATGAGTTTGGTGGTCTCATCCTAACCCTATCGGACAAGTTATTCCTTATACAGAAAAAAAAAAAAGCCCAAAAAACAAAACAAAACAAAACCAAAACCAAAAAACACTACACAATTTGGCACAAATGGATTGTTTCTACCCACGTCTGTGAATAACTGGTGGAGAGAAAGGGGGTGCCAATCAGATCAAAGGGGCAGCAGTGAGGATGGGTTGCAAGAAGTATCAGCCTACCCTTTGCCTGACAAGCATCCCCCGACCTCACCCCAAATCTTCCAGGGCCTTTTTTCTTTTAGAATAACTCTCCCCAAATGAAAACCAAGTTAACAAACACATTACCTCCTTCGGTTTAGCCATAGCAAACAGGCAAGTTTAAACCAGCAGGATGCTGGGTACTGAAGTTTGCTTTAAAAAGATGTCAAACTGAGACCTTGGGGCTGGCCTCTGTCTTGTACTACACCTTACAGAAATAAACACTGAGGTGTCCATACCACTGAATCCGGTGTTGCCATGCGTCATGGGAAAATGAGACTGTTGCATTGCCAACTGGTGCAGCTTGGTCAACTGCAGGGAGGAAACAGGAGAGAGGTTGGCATTAGAAACGAAACAGAGCCAGGGCTCAAGCACATTCAAATTTGAAAATGCAGAGCTCCTGATCCCCAAACTTGGCTACTACTCAAACTACAACAAAGGGCAAGGGATGGGGCTTGGACCACAATCCTCGGGATATGCAGAACATGAAGGTAAGGGTTAGAAACAGGGTATCAGTACAAAGAGAATGAATGCATTTGGGGTGTGTGGAAAGAAAAGCAGCAGCACCCGCCTGACAACCAACCCCTCGTGGGCTATTTAATGAAGGTGTTTGCAGCCATTGCAACAGTTGCCCCAGGGACAAGCACAGACAGGCTAGGTAAACAAACTGTGCAGTGGTGCTAAGGAAAACACACCATGCAGGGTTCTGTCAGTATCGGGAGGAGGAAAGGAGATGAGGAGAGACTGCAAGGAGGAGAGAGATTAAGACGAAACCAAACTGGGCTTAGCACTCCCTCCCCCGTGATTTCTACAGCTTTTTTCTTCATCTATATAAACTGCCCTGGCTATTGTAAAACCACCCCTCTTTAAGTCTCCTTCCCCTCCTGGGGCCTACCACTAACCAAGAGCCAAACTCAACTTCCCAAATCTAAAGCTCAGCACCTGAAAGGGTTAGTAAGGATAGAGGAAAAGTGCAGAAAGAAATGCCCTTGAAGTCTAAATACTGGCACATTTAAGTTCGAGTTTTTAGTGACAAGGAAGGTTTTACTGAGTTGAATCCCCAAATTTTCAGTTTACTACCCCTCCCTACATAAATAAGCACCCTTCCCACCCCTCCAGATGCTTTTTAAGTTGTCACCTCAGACTGAGGAGTGCACAAGGACAAACCCAACCTCCCACCACCCCCTACCATGGAAAGGACTCCATGCAGAGACGCACAGTCCACTGTCAATTTAAGCCATGCCCTGGGATAACACATGACAGTAATGTGGGACATCTCTCTTTTAGAGTAATCTGGAACATGGGAAAAATGAGAATCTAATAATCTGCCAAATTATAACTTCCAGGGATTAAATGTCAAAAACAAGGCGTTACTATGTTCTGATTAAAGATTACTTAAGGTTCAAAATATAGGGTTCTCCTTGTGAGGAAAACAATACTGTAAATGTTTAAAACCCAACTCACTTCTGCCTATGTGGAGAAAGGAGACAATTTTGAATGGGAAAGGGAGCTTTTCAAAACAAGAAGTGAAAACAAAACTTACATCTGGCTGTGGAATGGCATACTGTCCTTGAATGGTATAGGCCTACAAAAGGAGGAAAACAGTTCCTATTAAAAACCAATCACGGACAGCCACCCAGTGGGGGGAAAAAAGACAGATTTCAACTAGCCAGGAAGCCAGAGTTGAACTAGAGAATGGGGAGGCCAGGGATTGAGGCAGTAGATGGTATCTCAAATACAGTCAGACCCGAGTTGGCCTTCTTTTAAACCCTAAATATGATGGCTTATTCCGGGATGCCTATAAAGGGAGCCATGTTCCCTGCAATCAAAGACAAAATGACACATCTGTTTCTTAATGACAATGTGGGAAGTGGGATTAAACAACGCCTCGACTGACAAAGCCCCCTTCCTCCTCCCTGTGTCCAAGATAACCTAGGAGGAAAACAGTCTCTTCCCTCAACCACCCCCAAGCTCTTCTACCGATCGTGGTGACATGAATGATTTATATCTGCACAAACCTACATGGCATGTTTTGAAACACTTCCCTTTCCCTATCTTATTTTTCTCTATATCTGCCTATAGATCTTAAGTGCACTAGAAGCTAGCTGGGTCCCTAGCACTAGGGAGCTGACCACAGGAATACATATACAAAAGTGTTCTAAGTTCTGCCTTCTCCCACCTCCCCTCCATAAAAGGCACTTGCAGCTCCCACTACGCCCTCCTCCCCCCAACACCATAACCTCCCAAAAAGGGAGCTGGGTCTTCAGGGCAATGGGGTGGGGGGGCAAGGAGGAGCTGGAAGGGAGGGGAAGGAAGGAGCAACTGGTTAACAGGATGTGAAGCTTCTCACATCACAGTGTCCAGTACCCCCAAAAGTGCACCCAGGTGGGGGGTGGGAAGGTGAAAATGGGGTAGGAGGAGTAGGAAACAGGGAAGAGGGTTGAACAAAAAAAGAAAAAAAAAGAAAAAAGAAGTTGGTGTTACCATCTGGTGGGCTACGCGGCCTGTGTGAAATGAGGTGGGGGGGTCAGTCCAGGTCCCCGTGGACAGGTGGTGTCCACAGCACAAAAATCACCAGCGCCACTGGCCCCCCGTGTGTTGGCAGTCTCGGCTGAGGCGGAAGGATTGAGTGAGCCTTGGAGACTGAACATCCCCTCTCACCTCTAGAGGTGGTCCCTCCAGGTCAGGGTTGAGGCACATGGACGGGGTGGTGTGGGGAAAGCTCGCACTGTCGCTGCCTGTGCTGTACCTGTCCTGTGGATAAATAGAGGATTTCAGTCTCCAGGGCTGTCAATCCGGCACCTTGTCACCAGCATGAAATTCACACAAAAAAAGTTGTTTAATTTTTAATTTTCCTTTAAAAAGGAGCTCACAACACAATTTGAAACGAGCTGCAATCAGTGAATTTTAAAAAAAGTTACCTAGTGGCAGATTCACACTGCACAACTGGGCCATTTTCAGTAAGAATGAAGGGGTAAGGCAACAGAGCTGATGCCAGCTCCTGGTCAGTGTGGGATTCAATCAAACCCCTATAGAGCCCACTTTGTCACAAAGGAGCAAAAGACACAGGTCCATCTGTGGACACTGCATGAACTGGTCCATTTAAAAAGGCCCGTGGGAAAATAATCCATGACAGGGCCACTCATGGAAGAAGCTGCAAACTTTTACAGGGTGGTCAACTGAATAAAGGGGAGGAGGGAAGGAAAGCAAAGAGGTAAGAAGGGGGAGGTGGGAAGGGAAGGGAAGGAAAGGGAAATGAAGGAAGAATTGTAAACAGAGAGGACTGCTGCTCTGCAGCATGGGACTCTATATAAATCCCAAATGGGTTTGACAGGAGAGTAGGAACCTGTAGTTCCAGGGGAGAAGGGAAAACTTAAAGCTAAACCTCCTTGCTACGCTGACTCTGGGCCTCTGCTTACCCTGCCTGACTATCCAGACTGACTGGGAGCCCTTTCACCAAACCCGCCTGTACAAGGCTAGTGTCAAAAGCAAGGTACTAAACTGTCTCAAGGTTTAACACTGTGATATGATTAACTTCTTGTGAAAGCTTCCAGAACTGCACGACAAACTAAGTCCCCCAAAACTTGTTCAGTTTTGACTACTCAGTAGAATGTAAATGAGATGAACTTAAGTGCTTCCCCAGTTCAAATACAAGATGGAACTAATTGAATAACTGTGCTTGTTAACAGGTCAGCCCCATGAAAAGGCACTGTGAGCATTACTCTTAAGCTTAGGAAGCTACCAAAATGAAGGTCACTATTTCAACCCGAATCCCAATATTTTAAAAACTAACCTACCTACTCCTCATATACTAACCAAAAAGCATAAAACTACCATAGTGCTAATCAGTGCCCTTGTCCTAAAAATCTAACTTCAGAATAAACCATGTGCCAAGGATCCAGAATTTAGGTGAGTGAAGGAGGAGAGAGGCCAAGGGGGTGCTTTGGTGTTATTCTTAACACCAAAGGTCACAGCACCACAGCCCAACATGCTCTCCCCCTTCTATTAAGACACTGAACCCTTACCCCAGCTGATTTCAGTTATGCCATGTGGGTTCATACCAGTGTTTATGAGGTTAAGAGCCCAGGGACAACACACTGGAGTTTGGGAGTGAAGGGGAAGGAGTAGGGGAGGTGAGGTGGGGGGAAGGGGAAGTTTGTAGGACACTCAATTTTAGGATCCCCCAATTTGAGACCACCATCCAAGAATCTCCTTCAGAGGTCCAACTCTCTGCTACCTTTATTTAGACCTCTAAAGAACACCCCACACATAAAAAAGCATGGATGGGGTGAAGTAGGGAGAGAAGTAGTGACACCAAGGCAATTTAACCCTTTCTTCTAACCCAACCCATCTTAAATTACTAAATAAATTACCTCTTCCGAGTGTCTACAAAACTTCCATTGCCTGCTAAAAATTAAATAAGGTGGCATTCATAGCTTTCTCCAGTACAAAAAAAATAAATAAAACTAAAAGCAAGTCAAACTATGGCCAGAGTACAGGTTTCAGCAAGCATGCAGAGTGGCCTGGTGTGCTGCTAGCAAAGTCGACATTTCAAATATAATTCTTGTTCACCCTAGCCCACCAATAAAAATTTTCTTACCTGACCACCTGCAAAGATGACCGGAGAACTGGACGGCTTGGGCCGGTACGGGATGGTCACGCCCTTCGGGGGGGACTGGGAGAGAGTCAAAGGGGAAAAAAACAAAAAGAGATAAGGTTTCAAAGCTGCTTCAGCTGTGTGGCTTAAGCTCACACAGGTCAGTTAAATTAACAACTATTATTTCCATCCTCTCACCTACCAACATTGTCTCTGGCTAGATCTAATCTCAAGTCACCTGCAGTTATTTGCCTTCAAAGCAGTAAGATGGTCTGTGGACAAGACAGCTCATACGAATTCTCCCCTGTAGTAACGCAGGCATTACTTCCATGTGTTCAAATAAATCTAGTGAATGTGAAAAACCTCTATGTGTACATATGTACATTTTAGTTAGTAATTACGATCTTACATTTTGGCATGAACAGGAAATAAAGCCAAAATAGGAAATAAAATACCCAAATGTTGTTATCTAGGATAACACAAAACTATCCAAATAGTTCAAAGGCTCAATCAACATTTTTCTGAATTCTACTTGAAAATTCTACTTTACTTTCTCACCAATATGGGATCAACTCCATATGACAATTCTAAAAAGGTTTAATTAATCTTAAGTTTGCTATTCTTATTTTAGTTGAATAGCAGCTACCAAGACCTTGTTAAGTCATTCAGGATCATCATTATGGATACGTTTTTTTTCTATTTATCTACCATTTTGAATATAATCTGGCCTCAAAACACAGAAACTAATTTAAAGAATATATCAAAGTTGCATGTAGCCAAACTATTGTAATTTGAAAGGCAACTTAACTTAGTTTCTCAGGAACCCAGATAAATCCTTTGTCTAGTCAGTCCAAGTAATGAACCTTCCCCTACCAACGCTGCTAGAATTGCTGTAAACCAAATGATCACCACTGCTTCCCCGTTTCTACTTTTGTATGGACTATAAGAAAAGTCAAAGCTGGGGGAAGGAAAATATGAATTCAGGGAACTTCTTCCCCACCCCCACCGGAGGCTTCTAACAGCCTCACCTAATTCTAGTCTTACTAAATATAGATCAGTCTGTCTCCCTAAATCACCCTCCCCCCATTCTCAGCATGAGCCTGAGGGCTTACCTCCAACATGACCACGCAGATCTGTTTCACACACTCAATGATGGATTGCGGAATGCCAGCAATAGTGATGGCCCGCTCAGTTGAGTTGGGGAGCATATCCCCTGCCACCTGGACCTGAGCCCCTGTACTCTTTGGGGTAAAAAGAAATTCAAAAATCAAAGAATAGCTCATACTCTCCAGTATCTCCCAGCAGAAACTTTAGAATCTAAAGCTCAGTGACCATCTCTCTATCTTACCATTTTTATCCTCCCTTCTCATTCTTCCCTTAGTCCAGATAGGACTGTTTAATCACAGTTATAAATAAATTAGCCTCTGAAAGCTGAGAATAAGCCTGAATAATGGGCTAAATTTAACCTGCTCTCAAGAAAAAGGTCTTTCTAGACAGTTTCTCTCAGCAAATGACAGCTTTGTGGGCCATCAAACCAAATACCCACAAGTATCACCCACCTTTCACTCTTATTCAACAAATATTTATATTAAGCCCATTCTACCTGCCTGAAACCATTCCAGGTACCTGAAATTTATCAGTGAACAAAACCAAAATCCCTGTTCACATGGCACATAAAACAGGCTCCCAAAAACTCAAACCAAATTAGCTTTTCTTAGGAGCCATTCAAATTTCATTCCAACATCCAATTCAGTAATCCCTAGATATAATTGAAAACTTTCATAATTCAATGCAACTTTCACAATTTAAAAGGGAGAATTTACAACTACATCCCAATGTATCTTCCCATTTTCCCCTGCTGTTTAGGAATTAGGCCAAGAAAAATATTTGCTATTACTACATAGCAAATTATCTCTTTAGATATGAAAAAGATTTATGTAGCTTCATGGAAAAGTTGCCAGCAAGTCACATGCAATAGCTGAAAATTCTGGTTAACTTTTCCACAGTCTGATTTATTGTTGTTGTAACAGAAAAAATATATACAATTATCAAAATACAATCTTCTAGGACTGCTACTTTAATAAAAATCTTAATGTCAACACATGCTAACTTTTCCTAGACATATAAAGAGAAGAGAAAACCACATTTAGAATAATTTACACTTCAAAAAAAAAAACCAGCACAAAAATTACCAACCTCTCGTATTTCCTTGATCTTGCAACCACCTTTCCCAATGAGAGAGCCACACTGACTAGCAGGGACCACCAGCCTCAGGGTGACTGGGGGTCTACTGGCAGCTGTGCTATTGGTCATAGAGCTGCTGATGTCCTACAAAAAGAAACATGGGAAAAATAAAGTTTAGACAGATCCCTGGGAACCCATACTGTCATAAAAGAACCACTTACCTTTATAAAGGAACATATATTGTGTCACAATACGCCAAAGACAACAGTTCAAATATTGACCTCTTCTCCAAACCAACTATTTCTGAAAAGCTAAAAAGGACTAAAAACTACCTCAGATTTAGCCCTAAATATATCTTCCTTCACCCTGGGAGCATTATTCTTGGTAGGGAGAAACCAATTTGGGGGGGGAGGTTAAAGAGTTGATAGGGCAAAGTAAAATATTGAAGTCAAAATTAAAATATTAAGAGGAAGATGAAACAATGCAACCCAAATTCAAACAACCACTTTTTAATGATTAATTAGTGTACTTCTATTCATCCTTGTTTTAATTCCTTGTTAACATTACCGTTGTACAAATAATGAAACTGAGGCTGAACACCTGCCCCAATCACATCTAAAAAGCTGCAGATTTGAAACTATTGGCTCCAAAGCCCATAGCCTTTTCTGTAACAATATACTGCATTCAAAAATTCATGGCTTTAGAAACTAGTTCAATTTAACCTTCTGAAGATTAAGCGGTTTAAACATCACTTCCCAGCCTACGTAAGTAGAACTCTGTAGTGGGTACAACTCCTGAAACATAAGCCCTTAAATCAAGAAAGTGTTTCTTATTTGTAAGCGTATGAAAAGATTTTCTGAATGTTTAAGCTACAAACTGGATTAGCAAGGTCTTGCAGGTCAATAGATAACATTTCTGATCTTGGCAAGGGTAAGATTTCAGGCACCATTAGGCATCAAGCAGCAGCCCAGAAGATCTCTGCCTTTGGTGTCAATTGCACAGTTAACAGCATCACTGCAGAAGTGGGAGGAGGCTGACTGGACCTGGGGCAGTGGTTGCGCAGCATCCATTTTGGAAGAAAACCGTTTCTTCCAAAAATTTTCTGATATTGATATTCTGCTTCTGATAACTGATAAAACACATTCCCTTCCCTCCAAGTATAGCTCTAACACTATCAGACTGATTAAAAATATGTAACGATTAAAACTATTCAAGATTTTTGTTGCTAAAGGAAGAATAGTCAATGTACAATACTTTATTTCAGGCACACAATGGTGATTTGACGTTTAAACACATTACAAAATGATCATCACAGTAAGTCTAGTAATTGCTTATCAACATAAAAAGTTTTTCTGGTGAGGGCAGTATTAGGTTTATTTATTTTAGTGAGGTATTGGGGATTAAACCCAGGACCTCGTGCATGCTAACCAGGCACTCTACCACTGAGCTATGCCCTCCCCCATACAAAGTTATTACAGTATCACTGACTGTACTCCTCATGCTGTGTATTACCTCCCCATGATTTCTTACTGGGAAAATATGCAATGCTTCACAAATTTGTGTGTCATCCTTGCACAGGGGCCATGCTATTCTACCCTGTATTGTTCCAGTTTTAGCGTATGTGCTGCCAAAGAAAGCATTCAAAATACAGCTGACCCGTGAACATGGGGGTTAGGGGTGCCAACACTCTCTGCTCAGCTGAAAACCCAAGTGTAACTTATCCATAGCTCCACACCCATGGATTCAACTGACCTCTGACCCTGTAGTACTGTAGTATATATTTATCAGAAAAAAATCCAAGTATAATTGGACCCACGCAGTTCAAACTCATGTTGTTCAAGGGCCAACTATATTTGTTCTACAAATGGTCCAATTTGGGGGATGATGAATGGGAGCAAAGGATCCATTTACAGATTCTTATGATCTAGTCTGTCCTTGATTTTTAAAAGCCCTCAGAGAATCACTAAGTTATCTAGAAGCACTTAAAAATAAAGAATGAGGGAAGCGGAAACAACAAACCTCTTCCAGTTTGTCAATGATCATAGCAAAGGCTTTGAAGATGGCATTAGTGGGTCCAGCCAAAGTGATAATTCTCTCAGGACAATTCCCTTCTGAGATGTTGATACGTGCACCACTCTGGATAGAAAACAGAGCCAGAGGAGGTTAAATAGACAAAAAGATATATAAACACATAATACATAACTCCTCCTAAGAAAGATGGGCAAGGAGCTACCTACAAACATGATCCTGACACAAGGCAATGTTGGCATCATTTCAAATACTGCTCCATGTTTGTACTCAACAAACAGAAGCTGCTTTAAAGTCTTGAAGACTTACTAGAGCTACTTTCCCAGCATACTATTTGTCATTACAAATAACTAAGCCAGAAAAATACCAGTTTCTTCTATTAAGATCTTCCCCTAGCTTTAAAAAAATTCTTTTTCATTTCAGTTTCACTGAGATATGGTTGACATATAGCACTGTATACTTTTTGGGGGAGGATTAGGTTGTATTTATCTATCTATTTTAATAGAGGTACTGGGGATTGAACCCGGGACCTTGTGCTTGCTAGGCACACACTTAAACCACTGAACTATACTATACCCCCTCTCTCATTAAACAGAACTTTTACTTCTGTTTTAAAGGGTTTGAATTTCCCAAGTCAACAGTCCCTAACCACCTCCCACCCTCAACAACTCACCTCCTCGCGCATCTTCTTAACTGATTCTCCTTTCTGTAAGAGGAAAAATCAAGAGTGAGCTCCAACTGCTATTTCAACCAAGACTAACTAATTAGTAATTAGGGTTGAAGTAAACCTCTTACCTTTCCGATGATACTGCCAACTTCCTGCAATGGAGAAAACTAGTGTCAAGTAAGAGGAAACCTGAAGTGTTAATTATCACAAAAAGTAATTTTTCAATAGTTCAAAGCAATGAAAAAGCTAAGATTTATAGGGAAGGGGAATGGACAGGCTTATCTTTTCTTTGCTCAAAATATGAGAGAAGCTAAAGAAGAATTCTGAAAATAATGGAGTCATTAAATGCTATCTATGTGTTTAATATAAATTGTTTTAAAATACCAAATGTATCACCCCATCTTAAAGTTACCCAAAATTGCTTAGACAGGGAAAATCTACCTATTACAAGCTTTAGCAACATCCATGAGAAAAATCTTTTCATCCAGGCATGAGACAGTCTTTGGCTCTAGCCTCTGGTTAAGCCTTTCCTGCTCATTGGAGCTTCCTAGTCAAGTCTGTCCATTTTTCCACCATGCTCTCATGTACTCTGCTAGAGAAGAGTGCTAAAGCCAGGCGCCCCACAGTGCTAATCTGATGAGCTCCAAGATGCATGCCCTCTCTTCCTGGCCCCTCCCCTAGCAGTTACTATGACCCAATTTCCCAAACTGGTGCATACCTTTCCATGCATAAGTAGCCGGATGGTGAGAGTGACATTTAATCCACCTTCAATCACACCGGTGTCCATGTCGAGCAGTGTTCTTGGGAGCTGGACTTTGAGTGGTCAAGTCTTTGGTCACTGGTGGGGGTAAAAGCCAAAAACTGAAATGCAAAGACGACCAAAATCACAATATGAAAACAATAGAAGAAATATTTCCCAAAGTTATTTAAACCATTATCAATGTTTTCTGATTCTCTTCCTTAAATGACAGCCTATCAGTTGGCAGGCTTGTATATACCCAGCACAAGTGCATTAACTGCTCAGGTTCTGTTACAAAGTATGGAAGGCGACTTTCCAGTCTGCTCATTAATGGTAGGGTTTCCGCTGACTCTCAAAATGAGAAAGATTCTTTCAATTGGCAATGGTTCTAAGGGAACATGCACCAGTTGTCCTTCAACAGAATCAACTTCAAAAGGATGCAGAAACACCTGGAAATCATGAAGCCAAACCTTAAACCAACCAACTACAGTAAGGGCAGTGACCTGCTTCCCTGTTGGGTAGCAGCTGAGGTTAAAAGCTAAAGACACATGTAAATTTTCTTACTGGCACAATTTCTAGGTAGAGAAATTAAGATGTCTCTCACATTGAAATTTTGAGTGTCAATAGATGTCACCAAATAATTTTTAAAAGATTTAAATCGACAACCTCACTGAAAAAGGCATCATCTGAAAAGCCTTTTATGCAGGCTGGGGTTCCATATTGCCCTTTGGGAAATGATCCAATACCTTAACTGCAGCTTGAGTCCTCTTCTCCCAACCCAAATGATAGTCACTCAAAATTTGAAAATTTTCCTTCCTTCTGTGTATTAACCTGATCCCAGTCACTCTTTATTCGAGTCTATTAAATCTTAAATTTTCTTCCAAATAAAACAATCAAAATAAAACATATTGCTAAAAATTAACTGGGTAGCTGCTTTAAGCAACAGCAGTAGGAGCCTTTCCTACTTAAGCCCTTTCCCCACCTAGCCTCTAAAACAACTGTTCCTAACATTTCTGCTTTAGAATAATTTATTACATGTAAAAACATTTTTGTATATACCTTAGCCTACAAAATCTCCTTGGAACCTAGAGATGTTAGTTTTAAAAACAACCTCCCCCAAGTTGTGAAATTTCTCCAGTGACATTTTTAGCATCCATCCCTTCAAAACTCAACATCAATGTTCTCTCTCCTACAGCCAGTTTTCCCCCTTCACAAAACCAGCCACCGTTTTAACTTTGCTCTGAAACAAAGCCCATATTCTAAATATTTAAAGTGTTTAAGTGCCTGCCAGACCATTCTGTATACAGCAAACTGCCCCAGGGCTGCTTCAAGTGTGTGATTATTTAAAAGAAGGGCTGTGTATCCCCAAAGCACCACATTCCTCCATTTTCAGAATATAATTAATTGATGGCAAAATCCCAGAATTCAACACTTTTCACTCATGGAAAAACAAATGCTGGGGGTGGGGAAGGAAGGGAGAGACAGAGTTCAGTCTGTTAAGGATGACTTTCTTTTTTTCAATAAGACATGGTAAAAATTTGGCAGTTTAATTCTTTACCCCGACTCACACGTAATAGGAAGCACTTTACAAAATACCACAATAAAGCAAGTTCGAAAGGGCAAGAAAATTGAAAACCTATTTGAAGCCATTTCTTGAGGCAAGGCACAAAGGTGCAATTCCAACTGCAAATCATCCGAGAAATCCCTGTCGTATTTCTCTCCAGACTAGGTCAGTGTAAGAGTACCCAATCCCAGGAATCCAGCTGTTAATCCTGCAGTCAGTCCATTACCCCTTCTCCTATAAATAGCTCACTCTGGGTCTGTATCGGCAGGCGTTTTGTAATTTCAAAATTCGTTACCCCGAGAGAACGTCCCGAATAACTCGGTAACTGGGAGCCCGTCTACCCTTTCTTTAACTCAGCAGCCCCCCTCCCCTTGGTCACCCAAGCATTTTCCACTTAAAAAATGCACCCCCCCACCCCTCCACTGGAAAAGAGGGAAAAAAAAATAAACGGTTTGGTCGGGGGGGGGCGCTGCGATCCAGGGGGAGGGGCCGGACTAGTAGCGCCTCCTCGTGTGGCTGCGCCAGCGCCTGACCCCCGCGGGGAGCCGCGCTCACCCGCCCGGCCAGCAAGCGGCCATCGCCTCCCCCCACCCCCCTCCACCAACAAATCCACCGCCGCCCCCCCTACCGCGCGCGCGCCCTCCTTGACTCCTGCGCAGCCGCCACCGGGAAAAGGCGGGGGGAGGGGGGAGGCCTTGCGCGAGGCCTACTAGGCCTCGCCGGAGCCAGGGCCTCGCGTGAATGGCCGGCCAAGCAGAGTGAGAGGGTAGGCGCTCACGCGGGACTACGCGAGGCCGGGGCTCGTGACGAGGACCGGAGCCCGCTAAGAAAGATGGCAAGAGTAGAAATAAAGCTATAGCCGGAGGCGGAGGAAGAATTTTGAAGCTTACCTGCAGGCGCGAGGCGACTGAGGGGAAAAGGGGAGCGGGCGGGAAGGGGAAGGGCGGGAGGCCGGGGGCGGAACAAT